GCTAGGGTCTGGAACCAACTTCCAAGAGAAGTGGTGCAGGCTCCTACCCTGGGGGTTTTTAAGAGGAGGTTAGATGAACACCTTGCTGGGGTCGTTTGACCCCGGTACTCTTTCCTGCCGTGGCAGGGGGGCGGACTAGATGATCTGCTCAGGTCCCTTCCGACCCTAGAAACTATGAAACTATGAAAGTCAACATATGGCTTTATCATTTATTTCCTACTGTGTGATTCTTTTGGGGTGATAACAATTGCTGGTATTGTTTGACCTCTGTCTTCTTGGTGAGGAGTATGGTGAGGAAGCACAAACAATTCAACAAACTTCTTGAGCAGGTACAAGAAAAAGCTGATGACATTTTGCTTTTTCCCAAATATAGCCCCTATGTTTGTGGCAAAGGAAAATAATGTGGATAAAGCTAGCAGTGTCTCTAGTCATGGCTGGCTAAATATTTTTCATGGTACAACTTGCTTAAGATTTCATTCTGGAAAAATGATAGCTATAATGAGTGGATGTTTTTCTGACGCTTCAGTATTTCTTCCCCATCTTCTTCATCCATGTGCTAGGTAACTCAGCTTCCTGCTTATCTTTTTCCAGTCAGTTTTTGTTGGTTGCCTGAATGGTCATGTCAGACAGATTTTATTATGCTTTCTTTACCTTCTGTCAGCAATGTCCTAAAATAACACATTTCAAGACACTGAGCTTATTTTCTTTATCACCTGGTAAAGAAAAGGACATCTTGACATATGCTATGGTATAGACATTGTAATTTTCTGCAGGTAATTTTTCATCATGTATTGGAAGGCTCAGTTTTGCTTGCTGTTTGTTAAGATTTAAAAACACGCTGCTCAAACTCTGTATTGAACTGCAGTCATTGTACTAAGAAGTAGATTTTGATAGTGATAAGCTTAGTCTGGGAGATTATGAGAACGCTGCAGGTGTATGTGGGTTGGGCTATTTGATTGGCTAATACACATGCAAATATCAAAATGCCCTGTGCTTTACAGGAGTCTAAGATTTATTTTGGAAACTACAATGTGCTGCACTAACAGAGCATTACATACTGTACACAGTGGGACTGCATCCCAACACGGTTATTTACATGGATATTATACTGGTGGGCATTCTCTGCATATTGATTGTGTGCAGTACTGCTTCCTTGTTAAAGAATATCTATTCTACTTCTACATCCAGGAAAGATCAAAAGATTTTTTACTGTTGCTGTAAGATGCAAGTGTGTGGTTCTTTCCTATTCATCCTGCCAGAGAGAAGAAAATGGTGATTCTTTCTGAACTGTGATTGCATTAAACCCTTCATCTAGGTGTCACTATCCCGCCTCAGTGGTGACACAGGTGAAAATACACTCGAAACTGAATTCATCCTGGGGTTCATTTTGAAAAACTTTTTTTTGCATGTTCCATCTTTACTGAACTATAGTCGAATATTTAGTGATTTTTTTTGATGCTCTGCTAAGATGTTTTGGTGTTATTCATTGTCCTTAAATACATTTCTTTAAATCAGTCTAACAGAACGCATGCTATGACATGTAAATATATGCTAAGGATACTTTTCTCTTTTTATTTCCTTTAGTCCTTTTATCTTCTTTTATAACAGGAACTATATGTTGCAGGATCTTATTTCAGATGTTCTCCGCTTTCTTGAAGGTCTTGAAGTCTGAATACCTAGAACCCTGTGTAAGCCATCCTGTTTTCATCAAGACTATTCATATCTTGTAGGTGGGGTACAGTCATTGCATACAGACGTATTAAAGTTGGTTGTATTTTGCCAAACCACTAGCTGTTGATCTCAGATTTTGTTGTCTGTGAATAGGTGCTGTCACAAAGTTAAGACCAGACTGATTGTAGGACCCAGATTTTTTTATGCATATAAGAATAAAGGCATCTAATAAAAGAAGGCTTTCACCTCTATATCACAGTGAATCCATATCAGAGGATACATATCAGTTGGAAGAACTGAAGAACTAGTACCAGCTTTCTGGCTCAAGAAAACATCACAGCATTGAAACCATGTTTATATGGCACCGGCTCTGTTAGACAGGACATATCATAAGGAAGCCTGACAACTGGCTCCCAAAACAGGTCCTACACTCCTAAGTCATTTATGGTTAGTGCTCTAGAAGTGGGCAAAAGAAGAGATTCAATGACACTTTGAAGGCGAATCTGAAGAAATACAATATTAACATCAGTACCTGGGAGACTCAAGCACTGAATCATCACCAACAGCACCGTGATATATAACGTATCAATCATTTTGAGCAATCTTGCCTCACTATGGAGGCAAATAAATCCAGAGAAAAAGGGAAAGAGCTGTGACCTGATATCAGCAGATTCACTTCTTCCTTCTGGAACTATTTGCCACATCTGTTGCGGAACATGCAGATCCTGCCTCCTCAGTCATCTATGGATTCACCAACAACTTCCCTATTTACTGGAAGACTGTTATACTTGCATCAAGGGACCACTGATGATGATGGCAATGAATAAAAGTGTTTTGCAATTAAACATAAAGAAAAAGAAGGAAAGAAGAAGCAATGAAGAAAATAGGAATCTGTACTCTAAATATTGTGTATAAATAAGCAGAAAACCAGACCAGAACATCTATGGACATGAAATTACTTATCTTTAAAGAAGAACCCAAGCATGTTTGATAGATTTAAAGTCCTGTTTTTCTGCATGTATGGGAGACATTGCAATTTCTAATGAGGTCAGCTCTAATGAGGTCCAAATACTATATTTCCATACACAAGAGGACGACAAGGTCCTGCTGTTTCATTTTCCGCCCTGGGTCTAATTAGAACAACAACAAAATATTACCTAATTTTTGCTCTTTGAAATAAAAATGATTGTACCAGGGAATCCTCTTGAAATAATGCAATTTCTGGCTTGCAGCTGTGAACAAGCAATTATTTATTTTCATATTACCAACTTGCTATTAAAAATTAAGGGCTGCATTATGGAGTCTTTATTTAAATAGATTTTCTGCCTAATTTACTCAGGGAAGGATAATCATCTGTACGTTTCTACTATAAAGTTTTATATCAAATATGGTGAGGGGTCCAAAAGTAAGCAAAATGTTATTTGAGAGAAAGACAGGGTTAAAAGCCTTTGTATGTTTTTAATGCTGGATCAAGTGCTGGTCATTCAGGTAATGAAGTAATCATTAGCTAGTACATCAGAAGCTTATTTTTATACCTTATTAAGTGAAACATATTTTGGGTCTTTATGTTTTAGATTTTGAAAGCAAAATGTAGTTGTAAGCTCCCAACCTTGAAGAAACAACTTTCATCATATTGGCTGGATTTGACTTCTATGCATTATACAGTAATGATTTTCAAATCTATTTTTAATTAATGAAGTTGATTTATTTTAAATCTAATTTGTTTACATCTGTTTCCTATTTCCATCTCTCTTTAGCAGTACTACTGAATATTCTGAGGTCTAATGCGTTAACCAAAAAAACCCATGACCAGCTTCACAAAATCAAGTTTGCCTAAAGCACAAAGGTAAGAGATTATTTTCATAATGAATAACTTCCCTTGATTTTTATTAATGAAACATAAGAAGTACTGTGGACATGCACCTCTTTAAACTCCTAATCAGTTGCCCTTTAATGGAATGCTACCAAATACTCTCAATGCTTTCTGTAGCTAGGGCTTGTACAGTTAAATTATAAAAGACAACAGCATGATGGCAAAACATCTAGATAACTGAAGAGCAGCTGTCACACAAAATTGATGGGCATTAAATTTCAGTTATGCACAGAAGTGTGATTGCCTTTGAACTTCTGCTATAAGAAAAGATATATAGTGTTCTGGTCCAGATAAACAACAGAAGGCTGAATAAGCTGTCTATGAAGCAAGCCATAATATCCAGGAGAAATTGTTTTGTGGGTGAATCAATGAATCAAGTCTCATGAAATCTGATTTCAATTTGAGGCTCTGCCATGGATCCCCTGTATAAACTTTAGGATGTGTGAATGGTGCATAGCTCCATGCTGTTTAGAAATATCCAAGCCAGTTTGGGTATCACAAGTGGTATAGCTACATTAGTATTGTGCTTTGCCAATGTGAATATAACCTGCTTCTCAATTGTGCTAATTAGCCTGGGCTCAGCCCACTGTTCTGTGATACGTAAGCATGCCCTCCATGAGTTATTTAGGGTATGCTTATGTTGAAGTAACAGCTGTGACTGCAGTATAGTGCGAATGTAGCTGACCCAGCTCAGGCACTGGTAGCAGTCTACTTGTGGAGCTCAAAGCAGGCTGCAAAACCTGCCTGAGAAGCAGGGCAAACTAGCTTACACAGGGTGCATCTACACGTGCAAAGAGAATGTAGCGTAAACTCTGTGCTGGAGTTCATTGCTCCCAGGTTCAGCGTTCACACGTGTACATGGGACCACAGCATGTTGAGCCAGGTGTAGGAGCCCTAGTGGACAGAGAGCCTGGCTGGGGGGGTCAGCCTGCTAGCCTGGAGCCGCTCTGCCCTGGCTCAGTGTGTTGCAGAGGGGCTGGCTGGGGCACGAGGTTGCTATAGTGTGGGGCTAGCCAGCAGGCATTTTGTAGCACTAAATATCTCTGCAGTAGGATAGTACAGCAAAAACTTTGTTATCCAGCACCCATGGGGAATGGGAGGTGCCAGATAACCAAATATGCTGGTTACCTGAGAGGCTGGTTACCCTGTCCTGCCCCTCCCGCCATGTCTGCTGCGCCGCTGCCCCTCCCACTACGTCAGTGTGCCAGGGGACAGGGAGGGGAGTCCCACACAAGCTGCTGTACCCCAGGCCATGGGGGCTTGGCAGCAAGGTTGAGGGCTTGGTGAAACAGGAAGTGTCATGTGGGCACTTCAGGTTTTGCTTTACCTTACAAACCGGCATGCCAGTTAATAGAGCATGCCAGTTTGTAAGGTGCCAGATAACGCGGCTTTTACTGTACTTGTCCTGGACAGTACTATCCTACAGCAGAGTTAATTAATTTGCTACACCCTAATAGGGGTGCACATGTAGATGGTGATGCTTGACCGTGGAGCTACTGAACCATGTAGTTCAGAAAATTACTTATGCTGTATAACTATGCTGTATAGGCACTCTTTACACACACACAATGGTAAGGAAAGTAACTTTAGGCTCCAGTTGGAAACTTGCTGAAGGCTCTTTGGAGTATTGCCTCTGCTTAAAGAAATATGGCAAGGAACTTTCTTTTTCCTTGTATACCTTGATCATAATCATATGTAAAAGTGTGTTTGTATGGTATTTATTTTATAGATATATAATTCTATCCTCTTTATGTCTGTGGCTTGCTTCTTTTCTAGCCATGATGGCTGTATCTACATGAGCATGGATGTTTGTTTCCCCCAGGACAAGAAGCAGTGGCCCACCTTGAGCCATTGCTACTTGTCCTTGGGAAACACCTGTGCCACATGCCCTCTTATGTGTGACAGGTTACCCTGGGTCCTGGGGGCCTCCTGGGACTGCAGCAGTGGTGATTCTGCTGCTCAGAGCCTGGCTTGTAGCCGAGTGTGGCTCTGGCTGGCCAGGCTCTGGTTTTAGGAGGCGCGGATTGCCTCTGCGTGAGCTGTCCTGCTTCTTTTTTTGTGTGGGTATTTTGACCCAGGGACCTCCTGAGGTTAAAACTCCCCTCCACGCTGCTATCTTGCAGCACAGAGAACAGCTGAATGTATGGCATGTGGCACCACAGCTGTGCTCACCTGGACGTGGTCAAAGGCTACTTCAGACCATCTGGCCCAAGTCACTTAAGAATTTGTATCTGCCCCCTGCCCACGGAGCACGGATGAGTGGCATAGGGAGGGGGCTTTTGCAGTGGTGCAGGATTTCCTTCCCCAAAGGAGATATGCTGACAATCTCTATTAATACAGGTTTCAGCTCTCCTTCACTAACCAAGAAGGGTGGTGGTGACTCAGCTTTTCTGCCTAGGAAAACACATCTATTGCACCTGTTCTCCCATACACAAGATCCAGTGTTAACCTTTTCTGCACCCACTCTCTTTTTTAAGGCTTAAAAGGGAAACTTTCCTGAATAGGATCTTTTCAGAACTGATTTTTAAACTCTCAATCCTTTAGCAGTGAATTAGTTATCTCCACTTCAGAGCTTAAGTTGGTCACTGACTGAGATCAGAAAGAAATCGCTCTCCATGGTATAGTATTGCCTGATTAGAAGCTGTTATGTGGATTTTGTGCCTTCTGATTTGTTTCAGTTGTGACCATTTTGATTTTTCTTGGCAGACTGCTAGCAGGCAGTACTGGATATCCAGTTATATTGTATTGTCTGGTTCTATTATTTACAGCCAAGATCTTTCTATTGTGAGAATGATCTTTGCTGGTCACATGAGTAACACTCAGATCAAGGCTATGTGAGACATCACTGTTGTAATGGCAACTGAACTGATTTGAATGAAATGCTGTGTCAAAAGTCCCTAGCACGTTTTTATTATGTAATCAAAAGTCAAGTTAGAAAAGGATAGGACAGACATCTAAAGATATGATATCCATAAAACCAAACACATTAAGAAAAGTTAGACATTTTAATGGTACAGTTAAAAACTCAGAGGGCTAACTTAAATGTCTCTACATTTTAAATCTCTTATATGAATTAATGCAATCTGATTGACAGAAAATGCTCTCTCTCTTCTCCCTTTCCACCACTGCACCCCATTTTGTACACAAATGCCTGTGCACACTTTTTTCATGCACTAATACTGGTGTGCAAGTGAAGAAATGTATATCTGAAAGGTCCCTTGCCCTTTACATATGGAATCACTCATTTCTGTACACAGGTGTAATGCTTGAAAAGTGCACTCATGAGTGTTTGCATACTCAGAAATGGGCATTTGGATGAGGCCCCTCTGAATTTCAGGCCCAAACCCTTCAGCACAGGAATCAAGTCAAAATGGAGGAAGGCTTCTTAATACACCATGTAAGAACACTTGTGGTAAAATGCTATTTTTTTAAAAATTGCAGCCTTTACTGGTCTGCTTTGCTTTTGGAATAGAATGAGTTCTAAGAAGATGGGGAAGTGTTTTGATCCGTTGACCAAGCAATTTTCCTTTGTGCAAACATGCTTCTGCTGCATTAAAAAA